CCCCAAAACCCCAAAACCCCAAAACCCCAAAACCCCATTTTTTGAATTATTTATTGAATATTAATTAGAATTCAAATTCGTAATTATCCTCGATGTCTTCTTCAATATTTGACTGCTCTTTTATACTAGAAGAAGGCTGCTCTCCCTTCTTCGGACTTCCCTTCTTAGGACTTGGCTTCTTAGGTTCTTCCTTTTTCATAGATTTGCTATTATTTGTGTCATTTTTCTTGCTAAATTCATCTTCATAATGGTCAGAATAAGCATCACTTTCAATGTCTTGCTTAGGTTGCTTTTTATGACTTCCTGGATTATCCTCCTCGCGGGAGAATCCTGAGCTACTTCTGGGGGACCACTTCTTTCTTCGTGAACTAGCTTTGGATTTTTTATCTCCTTCATTTTTTTCGGTCTCTTCTTCATCTTCCTCATATTCCTCCTCAATTTCATCATCTGAGTATACATACTCTTGGGCTTTCTCTTGAAGCTCAGCATTATTGATGATTTCATGGACTACTTTATTGATCTTATTTCATCATGAATAAATCTTTGTATTGGATATCTAGTCAGAGGACTTCCTTTATGTTCTCCTTCATCTGTTCGACCTCTTTCTGCTTCTGTGAGTCATCTGGGTAATATTTTAGTAGTTTTTCTTGGTGCAATACTTCGAAAAAGTCATCAGCTGCTAATAAGTCAACTACATTTTCCTTCTTCTTGGTCTTGATTAATTGTTCATATATTCTCTCATTGAAAAGGTCTTCTGGTTGGTGCTCACCAAGGAAGGAAGTCATGTCAAAGAGTAAGCGGAGCGATCTTGGTTTTAGTAATTCAAACTTCATATGCTTCTTTTTCTTGGTGCCCTTACTAGTGACATCATCTGTTCCATCTTTGTCTTCTTCATCATCTCTACTCTGTCCAGTGTCTTGGCGATAGGATATATCTTTAGCACTAGATTGAGCTTCTGATTGAGCTTTCTTATTGTCAGAAGAGTTGCTTTTCTCTTGATCTTGATCGAAGTCGTTATCGCCATAATCTTCAGAGATCTCATCGTCTTTCGAGTCTTTTTTTACTGGAGATCCTTGAGATGAAGACTTCTTAGATGAAGACTTCTTAGATGAAGATCTCTTAGATGAAGATCCCTTTAGTGGAGCATCTTTGGCTGGAGATTCCTTAGTTGGAGATACCTTTTCAGATTCAGGCATAGAATAATTATCTTCAATTTCTTCCTCTGGTTCTGAATATTTAGGGTCAGAATCCTTCTTCGAACTAGATTGCTTCTTTGGGCTAGATTGTTTCTTTGGGCTGGATTCTTTCTTTGGGCTAGACTCACTTTTAGCATCAGAATCATCCTTTTGTTCAAATTCATCTTTTATATCAGAATACTCATCCTCAATCTGTTCGTCAGGGATGCTTTCTGACACCTTATCAGAGATAGCTTTTGACGCAGCCATAGGCTGAGCTTTCTCATGTTGAGGTATCTCAGGTTTAACACCCTGTGCAGGAGGGGAGTCAGAGTCTGACTTTTTGGCAATTTTTTCTTCCTTGTCTTCGCTTTCTTTTCCTTTGCTCTGGAAATCATCGGGAATGTCAAATTCGAACTTGTTCTCATCCTCTTTTTCTATTTTCTCAAGTTTATGCTGGTAGAGTTCTTCCTTATCTTTCTCATTGTCTGAGGAATGTAGTTCAAACTTTTGGTAAAGTGGATTCAGAGAATCATTCTTAACCTGATTATTGTCTGATTTCTTTTCGTCTCCTTTAGAAGAAGGGATTTGGAATCCATTATTAGAATAATCGTCAGGAATTTCTTCCTCTACTTTCTCAGTAGGCTTATCAGGTTCAGAATGGTGATAATCATTGTCTATCAGGTTTGGATTTGCGTTAACCACACCAGTTCCAGAAGCTATGGGTTAAATTATTGATATACCTCCTTGTGGATCTTGTTTTTCACTTTTTGTTGGGCTTCCTTCAGTTATATCATCTATGTCTTCTTCAATTCCAAAATTCTCCATGACCATGCAAAGATCTTGAATCAGGATTACATTGTCAAGTTCTGGTTTTACAAGAATGATCATGAGGCATTTGACCTGTTTCTCTGTAAGCTCAAGGTCAAGATCACCCAGGCCTTCAAGGAAATCAGTGGGCGAGATGTAGACCACTTCAAATTTCTCTCCATCTTCTGCTTCAATGACTTGATTTCCAATGTAATCTTTGAAATGATTAATAGTTGTTGTTTTCTTTTCCTTCATTTTATCAGCCATGAGGGAGAAGCACTTCTCCGCAATATCCAGCCCTTCCTCTTCCCCTATCTCTGATTCATCAGCAGGGATTTCAGGTTGTGGGTGGTCATTATTCTCTGGAATCTCTTCAGAGATTCTTGGGGAGTCGCTAGTCGGATGAGCTTTGGTCGGCTGATTATCTTCAAAATCATCATCGATATCGCTATAATCATCCTCATCGTTATTATCTGAGTCTTCGTCAGGGACTTCAATTGATTCCTTAGGAAGCGATTCTTGAGGGATCTCCTCATCTATCTCATGGTCAAGGTCATCAACCTGATAAGGATTGATTGTGTTGTTTTTACAAATAAATTTTTGAAGTCTTTCAAGAATTACATCTGGATTTAGTTGCTTTAGTTCATCATACATCACTTTTCCATCAGGGTCGATATCATCCTCTTCATAAATATATCTAGCAGCAAGCTTAGCATCCTTCTCGGAAATATTATAATTGTTAGTAAGAAGTTCTCTGAACTCTGACAAAGCAAGAGGCTCATTTGGGATTTCATTTTCCAGATTTTCAAAAGGAATTTTACGGGTGATAAGAGTCTCTCGGAGTTCTCCAGCTACTGAGTCAACTTTACTAAAACTGACTTTATCAAGTAGGACTTCTTTCTCATCGCTAGCATCACTTCCAAAGGCATCTCTTGTACCTCCATGTTCTCTTGCTTGTTCATCCTCTGCATTATTGTCGTCGTCAGCAGAATCAGGTTTTCTTCCGTACTTGGAGGCACTTTTAGGCCTGGCACTCTGATTTCTTGGGTATGACTTCTTACCATCTTTAGTGAGTTCATCAAGATGCTGTCTCAATGAGATGTTCTTCTCTCTTTCTTCTCCATAGAGTTCCTCGAATTTCTTCTTGAGGCTACATTCTTCTTCATAATCTTGTGCAAATTGGTCTCTTTCATTTTCTAATTCCTCAATACGGTCAATAAGTTCCTTCCTCTGAGCCTGAAGTTTGTTTTTACTTTTCTTAAGTGAATTAATCTTGGCTTTGTTATTACCGACTTTACCCTGTAAGGCGTCATACTTTTTCATGATCTCTCCGACCTTTTCCTTTACCTCTGGACTAGTTCTCGACCTGAGTAGAAGCAGTTCCTGACGAATTCTTTGTAGTTCAATTTTCTTGTCTTTATTCATCTTCCTGAGCTTTTTGTTGTCTTTTGCAGCTGGGCGAAGTCTGTCAATCCGCTTCTGATAGTCCTCAACCAGGTTCCTCCACTCTATAGTTTCATTATCTTTGTGAGCAATCATGTTCTGGAGTTCTTGGTTCTCGTTATGCAAGTTATTGATAACTGTATTCTGCTGCTGGAACTGCTCTTCTATCTTAGACAACTGGTCAGGGTCGGCCAGCGGATCCTTGCTCCTGACGGTGTCCTCGAGCAAGTGCTTCAGACGGAGACACTCGTCCATGTAAGACCTCAGCTCAATGTCAAGCTCGTTGATTTTGGTATTTTTGAAGTTCTTTTTGTAGGACAAGATTTCTTCCTCTCTGGCGCTGATTTCTGCTTTGAGTTCTTTCACTTGCCTTTTTAACGCAGTTACTAGATATGACTCAGACTTATTTCTTATTATTAATCACACTTCCTAGGCGACCGATAGTGGACACTTCGTTATTATTAACCAGGCTTTCTATGATGCCTTCTTTCTCGTTCTGTTCCTTTTCTAAGAATTTTAATTGTGTCCTTAATTTTAAATTAGCATTTTTATAGGAATTCATCTGCACTTTTAACTTAATGACTTGATCATAGAGTTTCTCCTTTTCTTGGTTGATCCTTCTAGGCTTCATCCTCTTGATGTCGGTGAATGAAATTTCAGTTCCCATTTTGGAATTCTGAGCAGTTTGTGTGACTCCGCTGGCAATGTCTGTCATAGGATTTCTACCAGCTTTACCAGGATGAGAGGCAGAGACTGGCCTTTTATTCTTTTTACCTGCAAATTGCCTTGCAAAGTTCAAAGCATCGCTCTGGTAGTTGTTAAATTGATAAGCCTGACCAGGATGAGGTTGATTCATATCTGCTCCTTCAGAGGGATGAAAATTATTATTACCTGATCCAAATTCATTCGAATTTACATTTGCCGATTGAGGCCTGCCTCTGGAGTCAATAAATTGGTTACCAATGACTTGATACGGAGGATTATTGCCAAATTGGTTGACTCCAAAATCACCTGGGTTGACGTTGTCATATCCTTCATCTTCGTCATACTCGTCTTCGTCAACAGCGTCGATCTCTTCTGCGTATTCGTCTTGCTGATTGTCGTCCATTTTAAATTTTAATTTATGTATATTTATTATTCCTTTTTTTATTTCCTTGATGGGGTTTTGGGGTTTTGGGGTTTTGGGGTTTTGGGGTTTTGGGGTTTTGGGGTTTTGGGG